AAGATTGCGTTAGGATGAAGGTGGTGTCAGCAATTTGTACCTCTTCTGTTTAATGTGCTCTGCATTCTCAGACATCCCCTAAAGGTAGGGAGCGCCGTGCTGTTGGACTATAGATTCTTACAGATGTCTAGCTAAAAACAAACAAACAAACCTGATGTCCAGGTGTCTGATGTGTGTAATATCATTATTAACCATGGTCCTTTAGGGCATCTTCTAGTAGCATGTCTCAAACAAATATCCAACTTCTCATGTTTGGTCAGTAGCATTTAAATTCTCTTTGCATCACTCTAGTGTTAAATACGTCTTTATACGGAATAAACTTTCTCCCAAGAGATGATGGAAGCCTGCAAACTGCATCAGAATACCTGTAGCATTATCTTCAGTGAGATACCTTGGGGAGAGGTTCTGTCTGCAGACTTAAATGTTTTTGCCTACTAGGGCTGCAAGGATCATTTTTTCTCAAGATCTAGAAATTGAAAATGGAAGCTTGGACCAAAATGATTCTAAGCTGCAGAATGTCTGTATTCTGGCAGCCTCCTCTTAATTAAGTTTATGAATCTCCTGCTAATATCCAGCTCAGGGAACAGAAAGAAGGCTGTTAACATGCGGGTCACATCTGAATGTCCTTAAAAATCCATTTAGCCTGTCCCTGTGTAGATTCAAATGGGACCAAACTGAGCATCCCTCTTCACAGGTCTACAGAACCCAGGATGGCTTTCTGCTCTGCAGAATGCTTGTTTTGGACACTGCCACCTACCTCTTATCCCATACAGAAAATAACAGATGTGTGAAGCACAAAGCACAGATTCGTGCTCTGGAAAAGTTATGGCAGGAAGTAACATGGGTAATAATGGCCTCAAGGATCAGCCAACCAGTTGTTGTCACCTGTGGGGGACTGCTGATAAATTAGGCATGTGTGAGAGGGAGGAGCTTCATAATTTTCTGTCTCACCTTGGTGGAAGCACATGAGCAACAAATATCCTTAGCATCATGAAATATAAGGTCACATACCCAGAAATGCCTGTCTTACTCCTGTCTGCAGAATGAAGAGATTAGTAGGATGGCAGTGGAAAAATAAATGAAAACAATATGAAAGTTGGGGCATGTAAGTCAGTGTTGTGTTAGAAGCAACAAGAATTTCTGCATCGTGTAAGCAGGAAGAGGAATGGTAATAACTTTACCTTATTCATGAATGTGAGAGCAGTGCTGGGAATGGTGCATCAGGTTCTGGAGGCATCCTGACAAAGAGCTGGAGGCAGTATAAAAATGAACTACAGAATAATGCAAGAGAAAGTTGTGTAATTAAGGCAACTCAGTTCTTGATAAAATCAAGTAAAATTCCACAGGAGAGCAATTTGACACAGAGCCTCTAAGGTTTGGTTGTTCTGCTTGCATGTTCATTACTTCCTTTTCCCCACTGCTGATGCAATCAACGACTAATATTTAATTGATATGTACTAGAATACCCTCTATGTGGTCACATTTCAGATGTTGGTGCTATAGAGGCTATAGAGTTGGCCACCTTGGTTTTGAGGAATATCATGCTTAACCTTGTGAACAGCATTTACTATAGTGTATGAGAGTCCTCATTCTACAGGGAGTTCATTGCCTTAGTGAATCGGATAAATCAGCGACTGCCTGATGCTTGATTTCCATCTTCTTGTCCTTTTCTCAGAGTGAAGAGAAGATCAAAGCTGTCCCGAGCCTCTATGGTATTCTTATGACTTTGAACCATATGGTCCAGCAGGATTATTTCCCTAAATCCCTGGCCCCAGTTCTCTCTGCTTTTGTCACAAAGTGAGTATTGTACTCGTCATGCCATCTTCTTTTTCCGTGAGAGTTGGTGTAATGGAAGGTTAATAGCTCACATGTAAACTGCTCTGTTAAAACCCACTAAGTATCTATTCTAAAATTAAGGATTAATAATTTGGCCCTCTATCTTTCTTACTCCAGTACACAAGGTTTAGGTTAGCAAATCTTAAACTTCAGGAAGAAGTAGAGGAAAGCTAACTGACTGGAGCAGAGGGGATAAATAGTCCAGCAGTGTGTCAGTAGTGAAAACCACCTGAAATCCATTTGGCATTTGGTGGCTGCCTGGTTCATCACAGACTGTGTGCCACCCAGGGTCAGGACAGCTAGGTGGGTTTCAGGAAAAGGCTTAAGCCTTCCTGATTTTCATAGTGTGAGGAATATGCAGATGCTTGAAATCTTGTGCTGGTAAAGGGCAAAGGCCTCAAGTAGCTGTGGCTGGTACAAACCATGGGTAAGAGGGATTCAGTCAAATACTGGTAGTCGGCCTTGTCTTAGCTCTGCTAGGATTAGAAGCAGGCTGTTATGAGATGAGGATTTTTGCAGGTAGTGTGGCTGAAGGTGTGAAAGCTGATGCATAGTAGTGGTGTGTCCAGCAACCAGCCATACTGACAGCAGTTCTAGAAAGTGAAAGAGTGTAACTATGTTACTTCTGGATTAGTCATTCTCCTCCTTTGTTCTGTAGCAGTGATTCTGTGGATAGTGCTCTCTGTTCAAAAAAATAATGAAACTGGGGTGTGTGTGACTGTGAGCAGCATCCATCTTATTCTGCTGCTCTCTGTCCTTATTTTCTTTTCTGGACACAAGAGGGTGCTGTGAACCCACCTGTGCTTCTGCATGATCCTTTAGGAGGAAACAATGTACGTGGATATCTGCCTGTCCTCTTGTTGCCCTCCAGAACCTGTGGTGGTTTTTAGGGAGAGTTCTTTAATTTTATTTATGCAGCTCTATGTTGTTGGATGGGATCACATTGCTGGTCTTTTTTAAACTGCCCACCGCAGAGCAACAGGCAATTGAATTCCACAGCAAGGAGGAAACTCCGTAGTAGTGTTAGAGGAGGTTTGGTGTTAGGGATGAAAGATGAGCAAGCTTGGCTGTGATCAGCACCAGCTTTTTAGTGTCTCTGCTCCCAGAAATGGGACACTGCCTAGATGCAATCAACCTGTGCCATGCAGCAGGGTTGGGTCTTCTGAACACGAAATCCCTGGAAGTTCAAGGCTAGGTTGGATGGGGCCCTGGGCAGCCTGAGCTGGTGGATGGCAGCCCTGCCCATGGCATGGGGTGGGATTGGGTGGGCTTTGAGGTCCCTTCCAACCCAACCATTCTGTGATTCAGTGAATCCCTCACTGAGACTGAAGATAAGCTGCAAATCATAGTTGTGTCCTGCTATGTTCCTGAATGTGTGGGACATTAAATGGCTTTTGTGGGGATAAAAGCAGTTAACTCTTCTCCAGAATATGGTCTCAGGTACTTCAGGCCAACAACAGGTTCTGTTGACCATTTCTGAAGCCAACAGGTGCTCTTAGGCTCCAGGGTTACGCTGCCTCTTTTTGAAAACATAAAAATCCTGGAGGCTGAAGTTGATGTTGGCTTGGTGAGAAAAGATGTGAACATAAGCAGGTTTGTCTTATGCATTTCAGGTGCCCTAAATGCAATCTGTATGGAAAATTCCATTGCAGGGAGGGAAGGGGAATTCTCTTCCCACCTACTTCCTGCTGCCAAAAATGAGGCACAGGGCTGCAGGGAGAAGCAGTCTGCTGCCCATTTTTGTACCTCTGGATATAAATTTTCTTGGCAGCTCCCTCCCTGTCTCAAACTCTGCAATAGGAGAGAGAATTTTTACAGCGTGCTCTGAATGGGAAGCAGAGAACAGGGAGAGAACTGATGGGAAAAGATAGGCTGCTGGACATGCAAGCCCTGTGTATTTGAGGTAGTGTTTATTTGGGCACTTAGAGTTTATTACAGTGCAATTTTGAAGCTTTACTATTGTAAATAATTATCTTCTTTCTACAGACCAAACCGTGCTCTTGACTCCTGTTCCTTTGCCCGCCACATGCTTTTACAAACCCTCCACCAGCTGTGAGAGGCAGAGACGTGCCCTTCCCTCCCCGTAGGACTGTCCTCAGCAGAGAACTCAGAGCTGCACAACGAAAGCAGATCCCGGAGCCCACGCAGACATGCTGTCTTTTTTTTTTTTTTCTTTTGCCCCTGTTGGAGGTCTGTCCTTCCTTCTGCTTTCATAAACTTGGGCAAATCCTGCTGATTTTTTTTTTTTTTAATATTGTTCTATTCCTCGTGAAGTGACTCTCTGATCTGTGGGGCTGATGCTTATGCTCTGAGCTCAGCATGAACTGAAGAGTCTCTCTCCATTTCTGTAGCATTGGCAAGGGTGTGCCAAGATGAACACAGAGCTTGGAAGCGCTCTCATCAGGATCAACCCTTGCTGTCCATTTTATTTTGTTAGACTGTGCAGGAGGACAGCTGTGCTGCTGCTGCTTCTCCAACCAGGGGTGTGCTTGACATGCCCCCTGCCAGCTGCTGCTGGCTCAGAGGGGCAGGGTCTGCTCCCCATTGATTCAAGTCCATTTCTTGAAGGCGCTGTGTGGCCAATCTGTATTTTAGGGTGTTTCTCCCCCGCTACTCTGGCTTGGAGTGTCTGTGTAGTGTGGCTGACCCAGGTGGCCATTGCTTAAGGGAGCAAGCATATTTTCGTTGTAATTTTTTTTTGTCACTGCCTGTGTAGTTTTCCCTTCCCTTTCCTGGCTAAATAGACTCAGTCTGGAAATGAATACAATCCATGAAGTCCATATGAAATATGTGTTCCCTTTCTCCTTCTGTCTTACCTTTGGAACAGTGAGATTGTTCACGTGTTTGAAAGCTGAGCACAGGTAAGAGCACAGAATTAGGGCAGTGGTGATGTTCCTCAGGTAGGGCAGCCCTTGTTCTTGCACAGAAGGAGTAGCAGGAGGTACCCCATCCTCTACACTGAGGTTGGTTCACCTGCCTGCCTGTTAGTGTCAACTACCCGCATTGTCTTTTGGGCTTCTGAGAATCAACACCTCTCTTTAGAGTAATAAAAAGTAATAATTCCCTTCACTTGGTGCTGATTGTTTTCTCCTCAGTTGTCGTTGAAGGAAAGTGTTCATCCTTGCCCCTGCCCTTACCATTGGCTATACCATACAGAGTGCCAGAAGCAGGAAAGGAGATGGATTTAGCTCAGCAGCTACCATCAATTAAGTGGGAGGGACAGCACTGTATGCTTATCCTGTATGTAGGAGCTGCTGATGTTTGCTCACATAGTTTGCAGGCAGTGCTTACAAAGAAGAAAGGATTTGAGGCAGTGGATGGAAATGAAGTGTGGCGCACTCCAGCTCTACATGCATGCGTTCTCTGCTTGAATTCTGCCACACTGGGGGCCTGTTTATGGTGCCCACAACTGAGGGAAAGGGAGCACCCTCAGGTGAGCAGTGTCTGCATCACTCTGGAAAAGGTTGCCTGAGGCTAAAAGCAAGGGATATTTTCTAAGCTAAAACTCTGTATCTGAGTTGAATGAATGGAATGGAGGCTGTGATGGCAGCATTCAGCTCTGTGCTAAGGCTGGGCCCTGCCTCCTTTACCTGGTCCCCTTTTATTCCTTTGGCAACACCTGCAAACAGAAGTGTTGCTGTGAGCTGGAAGGAGCAAGCAAGAAGTCCCAACCGTCCTGTGGCTCTCTTGTAGGATCCTTGAGCACATCCTGCTCTCGAAAGTAAAAATCGGGCTGAGGTGGGGGTGACAGCACTGCTGCTTCAGCCTGCCTGCCTTGTGCACCAAACCCCGAAGGCGGAGCTGTATTCAATTCGAGCTTCCTAAGCGCAGCAAAGCAGCGGTGGCAGAGGGGAGGAAAAACTCTGGTTACATGCAGTGATCCTGGGGGAGTCTGTGAGCGGTGGTAACGAGAGAGAGAGTAGGGCTGGGCTCCTTGCAGGCAAAGCTAAAACGTTGCCCCGCAGCCGGCTTCCCATCGTGCCGCCTTCAGCCGCCCAGAATCCCAGCCCCGTAAGGTGAAGAGGAGGTGACGGCTGAGCCGCTGCCCCATCCCCAGGGGACTCGCCTCTTTCTCCTCCCCCCCTTCCTCGCCGCTTCCAGCCAGCGCTGCTGGGAAAGGGACACAACGCGCCCCATTCAGCGCTTGCAAATACCGGCGCAGGCACGGAGAAGCGGGGGGGTGTTGCAGGAGCCGGGCAGCCGCGGGACGCAACAGCTTCCCCCTCGTTCCTTGCCGTCTCTCGAGGACCTGGGACCCGCTGCGTGAAGCCCAAAAGGTGTGTGGAAAAGAGGGGGAGGGCAGCGCTGGTGTGCAGCACCAGTCCTGGGGCCGCTGCGTGAGCTGCGTCGCCGGGGGGATGTGACCGCAGTGTGAGGGCGAGGAGGGCAGAGCCGGGATCGGGGTGAGAGGCTGGGCAGCACAGTGGCTCCCACGTGTTTGAGCCCTGTCGGCCCCATTGCACAACGGTGGTGGGAGCCCTCCGTGCTCCCCCCTAGTCCCGGCCCCTCTCCAGTACCCCCCGATGAGGTTCGCTGACGCCTGGCCAAAACCAACCCGCTCCTTGCTGCCGCTGAACAGAGCTGAGCGTTATTCCACAGCGCGGCTGGAGGAGCTCTGGGCACAGCGTGGCGGCTCAGAACGGCTGCTCAAAGCCAGTGCCTCGTGTGTGCCGGAACAAGCGGCTGTCCCATCAGTTCCCACCGAAGCTGATACTGTTTGGGGTGAGAAAAGCATTGCTGCCATCCCTCACCACTACCTCTGCTCAGCCGCAGGTGCCCCCACCATGGGGCTGCTCCTGCTGGCAATGGTGCTGGCTCTGGCACCGGGACGGACGGCTGCAGCCCGCTGCCCTGCAGTCTGCGTCTGTGACAACATCCGTGCCCACGTCCTGTGCCTCAGGCAGAACCTGACAGCCATACCTGACACCGTCCCCGAGGTGGGTGAGGAACCGGAGGGGATGGGAGGGGAGGAGCCGCAGCCTTGCGGTGACACGGTGCTTTGCATGACCCGCAGCTCACCAAGCAGCTGGACCTGCGAGCCAACAGCTTCAAGGTGGTCACAGCCGGAGCCTTCCTCAGCACGCCCTACCTCACGCACTTGGACCTGAGCAACAGCCAGCTGGAGAGGGTGGAGGAAGGGGCCTTCCGGGGGCTGGGGCGGCTGCTTCACCTCAACCTGGCCTCCAACAGCATCTCTGTCCTCTACCAGGAGGCCCTGGACGGGCTGTCCTCCCTGCAGCAGCTCATCCTGCGGCAGAACAACCTGGAGGAGATGCAGCCGGGTGCTTTTAGCAGGCTGGTGTCCCTCACCCTCCTCGATCTGAGGGAGAACGCCTTGGTCTACCTCCCAGACATGGTCTTTCAGGGGCTGCAGAGCCTCAGGTGGCTCCGGCTGTCCCACAATGCCCTCCACGTGCTGGGCAATGAGGCCTTCACTGCTCTGCCCGCCCTGCGCAGGCTCAGCCTGGACCACAACGAGCTGCAGGCGCTGCCCAGCGAGGCTCTGGCACGGCTGAGCGAGGCCACGCGGCTGGAGCTGGGCCACAACCCCATCACCTACCTGGCCGAGGAGGCCGTGGCCATGGCCTCCCTCCAGCACCTCTCCTTGGAGCATGCGGCCCTGCAGGATGTGGCACCTGATGCCTTCTCCCGCAGCCCCCTGCTGAGGACGCTGGATCTGGCACACAACCAGCTGCAGGGGCTCCCCGCCTTGGTGGGGGTCGGGGGGCTGGCGAGGATCAGCCTGGATGGGAACCCCCTGCTCTGCTCCTGCCTCCTGCTCCCCTTCCACCGCTGGATGGGGCGGGCAAGAGTGCAGGCAGAGGGGAGATGTGTGGCCCCCCCAGCCCTCCAGGGCCGACCCCTCGACTCCCTGCGGCCCTCTGAGATGAAGTGTGGGCAGCCCCAGGTGCCCGTCCCCAATCCCACCGTGCCTTCGGTGCAGACTGGGGGAACAACGAGTGGGCCGTGCCCCACGGGCTGCACCTGCTCCCCTGAATTCCACCACGCAAACTGTGAGAACAGGGGCCTGCGGAAGGTCCCTCATGGCTTCCCCACACACACCCAGCTCCTCGACCTACGCCGAAATGCCCTGGGCGTGGTGCCTGCGGGCGCCTTCCTGGGCCTGAAGGCACTGGTGTCCCTCCACCTGCAGAGCTGTGGCATCACAGAGCTGCAGCCTGGGGCGCTGCGGGATCTGCCCAGCTTGGTCTACCTCTACCTCTCTGACAACCAGCTCAGCACTTTGGTGCCCACTGCCTTTGAGGGGGTCCCACAGCTCGCCTACCTGCACCTGGATCACAATGCCTTCACGCAGGTGCCCTCAGGTGCCTTCCAGCTCCTGCCCAACCTCTTCTCCCTTCACCTTCAGCACAATGCCATTGGGGAGCTGGTCAAAGGTGACCTGGCGGGGTTGGCGGGGCTGCGCTGGCTGAGCCTGGCTGGGAACGTCATCAGGAGAATTGGCCCCGCTGCCCTGGTTGCCACCAAGATGCTGGAGAAGCTGCACCTGGAGAGGAACTCTCTGGAGGAGGTGCCCACAGCCTCCCTGCAGCACCTGCCTGCCCTGAGCGAACTGAAGCTGTCCCAAAACCCCATCAAGCACATCAGGGATGGCGCCTTCCTGCCAGTAGCTGGGAGCCTGCAGCACCTCTATCTGGACAACATGGGGCTGGAGAAGGTGCGTGTGAGCAGGGGACAGGCCCCTGTAGGAATCTCTGCCCCCTGGAAATCCCCAGGCTCCCAGAGCTTTGGGAGATGCTCCACAGCTCAGCCAGGGGGAGAAGTTTCCTTGTGCTGGGATGGAGCTGTGTCTTGCTTTTGCCTCACCCCAGCTGACCTGGGACAGCCTCACTCCATTTCTTAAAGATAGCAAATGCCAGCAGGGTACAGATCATTCCTGTAACCCTTCTTCTTCAAACCACTCCTTCCTCAATCCCAGTTTCTCCTCTTTTGATGACCCCTCCTGTAGGACTCCTCTGCTATAACCCTGAATTTCTCCTCGTCAAGAATTTGGTGCTAACACCAATCTCATACAGACCATGCACCTCTTAACAGTGCCTAGAGATCACTCTATGTCCTCCTGCACATCACCTTCTTCCCAGAAATAGAGTAGGATCTAGTGAGTCCTAGAACATGATCCATGGTCACTGCTACAGTTAGAGCTACTCTTTCATGGATGCTCCAAATTCAGGACAGGCTCTCAGCTCTCCAGAGCAGCTGTGAAACAGTTTGCTCCTCTTGACAATGATCCCCTTGCCCCACTCTTGTTCCATTGCAGATTTCCCCCAGTGCCTTTGCTGGACTTGGACCCAAGATCAAAACCCTACATTTGGAGAGTAACAAAATGAGTAACATTCCTGACATGAGCAACTTCACAGGGCTAGAAATCCTCAATCTGAGGGACGTGCCTTTCCACTGCAACTGCCGGCTGCTACCACTGTACAGGTGAGTGCTGTGAGGGGGGACAGCCCCAGGGACACTCAGAGCTGCCCAACTGGTGACATGGGTTCAGCAGGGAGGTCTAGTCCCACAAAGACACATCTGTAAGAAGAGCAGTGATGCACTGAGATGAGCAGATATTCCAGGCCTAGGCAGGTGAGGCCCTGAGCAAAAGGTTTTGCAGCAATTCATACCCGCTCACATGCAATTTTGCCTCATCTTTTGCTCCTCCTCTGATCTTCTGCCTCATTTCCAGGTGGATTGAGAAACTCAACTTGCGTATCGGGGCCACCTGTGCATCCCCTGCAGAAGCCCAGGGGCAGAAGGTGAAGTTTTCCACCACTTTCCAAAACTGTCCTGGCTGGAGAGCCAGAGGAGCCAGTGCTGACAAGGCTAAGGCTGCAAGAAAGGCCAGCAAGAAGAAGAGATCAGAAAAACCACCATCCAGAGGCTCCAGGAAAAACAAAGCTTAGGAAACGCATGCAAAGTGCTACAGAGCTGTACCTACAACATGGTGAGAGCAGTTTTCTGGCTTGTCCTCGCTGCAGCAACACAGAGCTTGTACAGGGTATGAAGGAGAGAGCTTGGCCACAGTGGAGTGATGCTGACCTGTCCTGGCCAAGGATGGCAGATGCAAGGTTTGTCTTTGCAGACCACAGAGGCACATTATCCTGTAAAGGACTTGTGTGAAAAGCTTCCATAGTGTTTGCAATGTGCTTTATCTGATGACTCCAACAGCAAAGCCATATGCTTGCTTTACCTTCACAAGCCTTCAAGAGCCAAGCGGAAAAGCTGGAATTCACAAGTGTTCTTTCTACTACTACTGCTTTCAAAGGTTCAGAAATGCTGAAACAGACTGGAAGCAGCTCTTGCACAACATCCCATGCTGGCTCAAATCTTACAGGAGAAAACTTAAAAATTTTTATCAGAGAAAACACTGCTGAATTCCCAGCTGCTCCTTAGAATTAAAACAAAAGCAGATTGAAATCGTTCTCCTTTTTGCAAAATTTGATCAGTAGTTCACCCATCCCATTCATAAGCAGCATACCTGGCCTATTCCCTACAACAGTTCATAGGTTGGCATCACTGGGAGGGGAAGAGAGGAAACTCTGTTTTAGCCCCACAACAGGATCCCCCTGCATCTAATGGGAGCTGGACAGACTCAGGGCTGGGGAGCAGGCAGGGACAGGTACGCAGGGACATCCCCTTCCCTGCCTTCATTAACACCCCACAACAGGCTGCTTCCATAACAGTTTTCTGATGGCCCTTCTTGGGCCAGAAGTTTGCTGAGACCCAGGAAGACATTTACAGGGCAGACTGCAATGGCCCAGTTCGCCCATCAGCTTTGACACTGATCCTCCACAATTTTTCCACTTGTGTTTCACTCTCCCCAGTGTTCACTAACTAGTTTTGCCATCGTTGCCATTTTATTATTATTGTTTTGTCATGAAGCACTTTCCAAAGCACAAACTATTTTGGCACTGCAGGCTCTTGCTTGGAAACTGGAGAGGGAGTGGGGCCAAGGCAGCCATTTCATGACTAAGACACTGTCCTGCACAGCTGTCATTTCCTGCAGCATTTGACAAGGCAGATGTGCTGCAGCCAGACAGGGCCTTTAGCACCAGGACAGGCACTTCCCCACCTGTAGAAAGCTCACAGGAATATTTAGAAAGCTTCTTTGTCTCTGTTGCCACATTAACCTTTCTGATTTGTTCTTCTGCTCCCCAGTTTGGGTAGCCCTGGTATGCTGGAAAACATGACACAAGCCTTTGGCTTCTTCCTTCATTTAATCCACAGGGCCTTAGGATACAGATTGTTGATCAAATTTACAGTAGGACTACTAAAAAATAAAAATCTCAAACTGTGCACCATGCACACTGCAGTTCTGGGTTCCAAAGCAAGAAGTGATGGTACACAGAGGTCTCTTGCTCTTTCAAGAGGTATCATCATTCCTTTTCCATTTTTCACCTCTTCCACTCTTTCTCTCCTTTCCAAAGGCAGCAGCTGCACCCAGGGAGCACAGCATAGCAGCTGATTCCCTGACATGTGTGACCTGCACACATCATCTCAAATCACAACCATGACACCATCAGCTGCAGCTGAGAGCCCAGACTGCCCTCTTGTTTTGGCAGCCTCTGTCCCCACCAGCGATTTCTGCTCAGAAAGATGCCTTTGGGGCAGGGAACACACTGCCACAGCAGCTACCCATTCATGCTCCTCTGCAAGCCTGAGGCTCTTCTGAAGTCTATTTGCTAAGGCTTAAAGTTACAGGCCGGGGGCAATCTTCTTGCTCACCAAGAAAGCAGAGATGTGATGATGCAGGGTGGCCTGCCACAAAGAGAGAACGTCCCTCTAAGTCTTCTACTTCCCACAGACAGGACCTTTCCCAAAGGGCCACAAATGAAGTGAGGCAACTGCAGGACGCTCCAAGATCATTCTGTGTCCTCCTGTTTTATGCTGCTGACAGGAACAGGAAGCTGTGTGGTTTCAAACTCTGCCTCCGAGGGGTCGATGGTTTCTTCTTTCACCTGCACAGCAATGACTAGCAAAGGACAGAAAAAGAGAAGGGGAAATTAATACAGGGAAAGCCAGTGTGGTCCACCTTCTGCCTGTTTGGGTCCACACAAAGGTGAAATTAAGCCTTTAAGAGCAACTGGAATTCTTCTGAGACCCCACCTCACACACACCAAGCACCTCACCCAACCCCCTTCCCCAGCACCAGAGAGCTGCACATTGCTACAGGGTAAAGTAACTCATTCCCTTACTCTCATCAGGTGCCGGATCTGGCAAAGCTTTGCTGGAAGCTTTTGCTTCTCGTTTTATCCGTGAGACGGGAGGCTTCTTGACCGTCTGCTTGATGGTGCGGGTTTTGGCAGGTAACTTTTTTCCTTAAGAAAGAGATAACAAAGCATAGGAAAATGTGCAATTCTTTCCCCCAGTAAATCAGCACCCCAGCTCCACTGAGAAGCCACAGGCCATGGACCAGCGCAACCAACCAGCAAACTACACCATCATTAGCTTCCAACTGGTTACTCAAAAAAAAAGAAAAGGAGCTACTGAAGAAGAACTCTACATTCATCATTTCAACATATGCTCCTCCGTGTTGTCCTTCATTAGAGATAAGGGACTTCAGCATGTGCTTAAATTCCCAGGAGGTGGTCCTGTTGGAGTCCATTAAAGCTTTGCTTACCTGTCTGGATCTAGCCCTAAGAAATGGGCACGGTGGCTCCAGGGCATGGACAGCGTAGCATTGATATTTTCATTTTTAGCTGATGTTTTTATTTAGGTTCAGTGTCTTTATACTCTTTAGATGTCCATTCCTCTCCACCCCCCAGGAAGGAACTCCTTGCCCCTCTATGCATGACTTGCCATATCTACTGCAACAATGACAGCAACAAGGACAAGGTAGAACAGTGACACGGTCCAGCCCCTCTACTGGCCTCTTCAGCCATCTTAAGGCTTTCTTTCCTTCAGCACAAAGCAGCCAGGGCTGCTTTCTGGCTGCCCTCCAGATGTGGTCAAGAAACTCCCTCTTACCACAGACATGGTGGGAAAGCAGCACACCTCACACCTGGAAACAAGCGCCATTTGTACCTCAGCCAACAGAAAAGACTGTGAGACAGAGCCTTCCCACACACACACAGCGCTCTGCTCTTGGGTAATGGGGGCGAGTAAGAAGGATGAAGCTGAGTTGTCACACCCAGAGCTGACTGAGAGCAAACACAGCAAGACGAGGCCTCTCTCTCCTGCTCTGACAGATCATAGACAGGGTTCCTCTAACTGGGCCCAGCCTGCGAGCGAGCGGGAGGGCACTAATCAAACATCACTCACTCTTCTTTCCATAGGGTTTCTTCCTCTTCTTGGGCACCTCCTTGGCCTTCACTGGAGTTGTGAGCTCTGCCATAGAGACGAGAGGGAAACGAAAGCCAAGTCCCATAACCAGTAGGTAACTGGGATGAAGTGATATAAGCGAGAAACAAGATATACCCGTCCCCCCCGAGTCAGCGCCCTCTTCCCGAGACAACCGGCTGAGGGGAAAGCAAGGCCCTAGTGCAGCTGATGTCTGTGCTTCCACGTGAGGGCACAGGGTGACAGGCTGGGGCTGCACAGGGGAGAGAGGCCTAGTGCACGTTGGGCAGGAACAGGCAGAAAAAAATGAGATCTGTAGCTTGGATGCAAAAGGAAATAATCTGCAGAGGTGAGGCAATGGCCTCCCTGTGACAAGGAAAGGAACAAACTCTTGACAGGGACGCGCTTACCTTTCACAGAGTCAGAGAAATTATGAGATAAGGGAGCAGTGCCTGAGGTGCCCCTGCTACCTGGCTAAGGCTGTAGTGTGCTTTGTAAGAGGGAGCTGTGCAGGGACAGGACCACCTGAACTCTACCCAACTTCAGCATGAGCAGTTCTCTGTTGGTGTGCAGGTGGGGATGCTGAGGGAAACCTGAGCCAACCTCAAACCTCAGGTTTTTTTCTCCTCACCACAGACTCCTTCCTCTGCTAGCTGCAAGCCTGTGCAGCTACAGAGAAGGACTTGTGGGAGCCAGCACAGCCCAAGCTGTCAAATGGGCCAAAAGGAGGAGCCGCTCACAGAGAAGGAGGGAGGACACCTTTGTCTCCAGCATTAGAAACCAGAGTCAAGCCTTCACTCACCTGGAACAACAGGCGGCTGAAGCTGGTAACCTGTCAGCTCGCACCACCCCACAGGATAGATGTCTGGAGACTCACAGTCCACCCACTGGTCATACTCGCTGTCCCAGCCATCAAAATGGATGCTGAGGAGACGGTGCACTACACGCTTCACCGTGGCCACACATATGAGCCGGGGTTCCATCAGGTCCACTGCTTCCACCTTCATGCCTGCCTTGAAGCCGTGGTTTGGGCAGTCCTGAGTGCATAAAAAAGATAAAGGAAAACCCAAGGCAATTACATCCAGTCCAAAGCCATATCCGGACAGCAGTTCCCTATGACAGCTACAGGCTTGCCTACAGCAAGCAGAAAGAAAAAGCCCACTCTCAAGCCTGAACACAGGCAGAAATTGCTGACAGAAGCTGTAGGATCTCCCTCCCTCCCTCCCTGGAGACCTTCAGAAGCCATCTGGATGTGGGCCTAGGCACCCTACTCTGGGTGTCCCTGCTCAAGCAGGTTGGACCAGATGGACACAGAAGTCCCTTCCAGCTCAACCACTCTATAACAGAGAGAACTCTTGTGCTCTTTCTTGCTGACTACAAACATATTTCTACTCCTGGGCAGCACTCACTGTGTTGAAGAGCCGTGCCGGAACAGATCTTGATTTTGTCATTTCCAGGTAACTTTCCCAGTTGAAAGTCTTTGCATCTTGCCCTGAAGGAGGAAGAAGAGGTCAGGGGAGCAACACGAGCACTGGACAGATCAGCTGAGAGAAAAAGCAGAATGGGCAAGAAGGAAGCACAGTAGCTACCTCCAAAGCATGTAAAGCCTGATTTGGACATACACTTAGAGTACATATTCCATGGCAGTCCAGCACCTCCCTCCAGTGGGCAGAGAGTAAAGATGCAACACTGAATACCCATGTCAGGCATATAACAGACCACAGAAATAGGTGAGAAGAAACAATCAAGAAGTGGTTTGATTGCACATCGAAAGCAAACCAATAAAAGCAATCTTTATCCCACCAACAGCAACATAAAAGGAAGACGGAATAGCAGTACACAAAATGCTGCAACACAAATTCAGAGTAGCCCTTTTTGGGCATGGCCAGGTGAGGCATTAAAATCCACTCTTAGAGGGATGGCATATCAGACTCGATTTATTTGTGCAAAAAGGGGTCATTTCTGCCATTTCTAGTGGTCCGAGTCACAGAGCAATAGTTCTAGTTAT